TGTTTAATTCTTCACTTCTTAAGCAACTTTTCTAACCAACCGTCCGTCAATTGGCTATTGTGCACCGGGGAACTGATCATAGTTCTAACTGTCCGACTTAAGAAGCTTTTGACTTGGAAATTTTTCATTTTGAATGAAAATTATTATTTATTATCAGCGTTAGGTGTACGCTAAATTGAAAAATGTCTGAGCCCCCATGGATCCTACATAGTTTTATGTGACAGAAATATTTTTTATTCAAGGTAGATATACCGGTACGTTAGCAATATGTACGCTTTGCCTATACACGTTTACTCATGTGCAGAGGAATACACATTGAAAACGAGCGAATGTTTTATTGCAAGTTAGCCCTTTGCTTCCCTCATGCAATTTACACCCGAACCCGTATGTGTCTGGGCTGCGCGGAAACTAGGGCAGAAACACAAAGCCTGGCCAGTGGCTGGGCGAGATACCGGGTAACAATACCTAAACGCACAAGGAAGGACGCCATTTTCGCCCTTTTCCATCCTACCGTTCATACGAGCTGCCTGATAAAATTGTAAAGCACCGGAGCTGAATATTTTTCCACTACTTGATCCTTCTGACCTCGCGGCAACCGACTGCTTTGTATGGACGTCATGCAAAAGCCTCCGCCAACCCTCATGCAAATCAGACAGATATGAGAAAACTTTACCAATCGAGTCTCTTTATCAATTCATTAACGCCGCTTTGGAAGATATGTCTCTGGAAAAAACGGACTTTTCCTTTGGATTACGATGATGTTGATTCTATCGGAAACCATCGATTTGAAGAGTACAACATTGCATAATATTTATCGTTATTCATAGCGTTTGTTCGAATGTCAATTTCTAATATTTTTCAAATATAAGTATTTTGATTTAATAAGTACTGTCACATACGGTATTGATAATAAACAGAAGTAAAATAATATTTAGGAAAAGAAGTTTTTTTTTAATTTTCCCTATCAATATTAAAGCAAAGTGCAGGTGGAATCAGAGTATTATGGAATATTGCAAAATAAATCAATAAGCAATTCGCTACCTGTAGCGTATAAACGAGGAATGAAATTGTCAAACCGATATGTGGATGAAAAGAATTTAAAGATGTTGCATTAGAATTGTAGTCACACGGGGTTCGTTCGTTTTACCACATTTCTACACGATAATTTTAACTGAGGGGACGTGGATCGAGAACAACGAAGTCTGTCTTCCCTTCGAAAAGTTAAGGCAAACGCGATGTTAGCCGGCCTGTCTCGGTCGAGTAAATATTTAGATTAGACACGTGCCGGCAAAGCGATCTCGGGATGATTTAAGCAAATGCACGATTCGACAGGAACCAAGACACGAACGGAAAATGTGGCCAGCACAGGAAACAGTTTCACTGAGGAATCTTGCGGATATTTCTACTAACACTTTTGCCATTTATAGAGCAGTCGGTTCCGAGCAGTAATGGCACTTTGAGTGTTTACATCGTTTCGCGTATTTTTAGGTGTTACTAACGTTTGCCGCTCGATTTATTCTTCTTCTCGCATATTTTTATTTTATTAGACCTACTTTAAAAATTCTGTATTATTAATGTATATAAATATAACATTATCCATCTTGTAAATATATTACGAATAAAAATGTTTAATTAATTTAATTTAATACTCTTACTTTATATGTTCAATGAATTTTGTAATAAATAAATTTTAGAAGCAATGGCCTTAGAATTCCCATTTAATTCCTTTTTTATTATTTCCTTTTCCTGCTTGTTCTTTCCTTGAGGAGTGTACTTTATCACCAACACTATTGCGGAATCGAAATCTCCAGTCCCGGGAAAGAAAATAAGTTTCAGCCAGCGACTGGCCACGAGGGGCACGTTCTTGTTCGGTGGTGAACATTTTCTCGCGATTCCTATTTTCCGCGTCTTGATGTTTTCCATGACTACACCGAGGCAAATAAAGTTTTCTCAATTTCCACAACCGGCCTCCCAGCGTGTGTCCGCAAGTATGCCAGCCACTCCGGCGAAAGTTGATCCTGGAGAGCGATTTGAGAAATAGTCGAATGCCGTCGCGATTCCTCGGTGAAACGAGCTTCGCCCGATCAAACTTCTGAAAGTGGGACATTATTTTCCGTCATAGGAACGCATTCAATTTCCGTTTCGTGATCGCCCGTTCTTGTCCCTCTGAACTACGAAGAGGCGCGTCATGGCCGATATCAGAGATCGCGGCGGTGCCTTTTCAGAACAAGAAACCGAAGAGAAATAAGCGAGACGATTTTGTAATAAAAAATTATCGGAGGGAAACATTATTTTCTGGCGCGCGGTTGAATATTTTGAAATGTTTTTTACTAAAAGTATTGCTAGAAAATAATTTTATTATTAAAAAACGATACTATAAAATTGTATTTCTGTAAGCAGTTATAAATATACTATTTATTTATAATTTTGCAGTATGAAATATAATCATTGTCAAACATTATCACCGACAATATTATTTTTATACCTTTTACCTCGTTTTGTTATTTATATTTTTGCATATTTAGTAAAATTATTGATAATTGAACGCACAATATCATCCTCTATAAAATCGAATATGGTATTGAGGAGAATGACTGAACATAGGCGCGAAAATAAAAGCAATTTCACGTCACCATTATCAAACCCTCGAAGTACGAATCGTTGGAATCGAGCTCCCTCCCTCTGGGGACCGGTCTGTTCCTAGTAAAAGCGTCCGTCAGAGCGTCGAGTTACTCCGCAGAATCAAAGCTCTGCAAATTGGCGTGCCTGATCAGGTCACTAGGAATTCTGACCCTTTATCGACGCACGGAATTTTCAATTTTCCTGAACGGCTGCCCGTCCACGTATTCCCGCTCGCCTTTTTTCCAATTACACGCCAGGACAACGCGATTGCTTGGCCAGCCACGCGGAAACTACACTATTGCCTCTCTAAGTGGTAGATCCACTATCAACCACGATCCACTAATAAAATCAAAGGCTCGACATTTGTTGCTTTATCAAAATAAAAAGTTAATAGGCTTATTCGTGAAACTGTAATCCATCAGCGTGGAAAATTTTATCTTAGGGGTAGTTTCGAGTTATATTTAAAGCTGAAGAAGTAAAATTCTAAGATTCATCTTGGGATGACCCATAGCCAAGCTGTGCCATTTAAAGAGGCAATACTTTTTCTTCGACATGAACCACGAGCAGGCCACGCACGAGTCAATAAGCTCTGCCTCGCTTCATGATTTGCATGACAATCGGATAGTCCTTGGTATTGTCATCTATGATCGTCGCTCTGGTACGGATATGCCGGTGCATTCTCAAAGGGAAAAGCCTTCGCTTTCCACCGTACGTAGCCGCGCTTCATCCAAGCTTTTATCATGTACCCCGACCGGGCTCTGTCTCTCTATTTCTCTTTCCCGTTCCCCACGTGCACACATTCTGTACGGCATCCCGTCATGCTCTCGACCCGGCAAGGTTGAGAGCCCTAATTAAATTCAGTCTGGGTACTCTTACCGAGCTCGGTCCATCGTTCATTAAGCGTCGGATCAAAGTGATATTCCCGTAAAGTAGTTCCACTTTGTGGCGAGGGTTCACCCCCAGCCTATACCTATCCCTTACCTTTCCCTTTACATCATCCCGGCCGATCTCGCGGAGACACGAACGACAGAGTCCGGCTTTGCCCCCTCGGGGTCGTACGTGAATCTTTTACGATCCCGTCGTACGAATGATTAATTACCCCATAGGCCAGGCCACGCGGTCTCGCGGCTGCTAAAAACTCTCGCTTCAGATCCTTCCGGCTGAACAGCGAAAAGGTGTCGGCTCATATTTTAATGGGTAATTGTTTTCGAGACGGGCCAGCTGCCGAGTTATGCTAATGGAACTGTCAGAGACTCGCAACACCGGAGAGAGAGAGAGTGAAAAGAAAAGGCTTTGATACTACTTTCGTCAGGTGTAACGCGTCTCTGCCTCCTCTAGTGCGCTTACACTTTCTTCGTTTCACTATTTTCCGACGTGAAAAGCACTCTTTTTTATGCTTAATATTATATTAGGTAGGTACATACATTTTTAGACTTCATATTTTCTTTTTCAGATCAAAACTCTTCTTTTTCATTTTTATAGAATAATTCAACTCTCTGTTAAAAAATTTAAAATTATACTCTATTCCTCCCAACAGTTTTCCTAGCCTATATAGAATGCAAGAGAGGTTAGTCGAAGATATTTTCGTCGATCTAACGTTCGTTCGACGTTCTGAAATCATCGTACCGGCGCGTAAATTAGGAAACAAGGTCCACTTTAACAATGGATATTAAATCATCGAACAATGCCTAAATCGAAAAATGTATTTCCAATGTAAATTCAAAAGCTTAACTACGAAAAGCATCGTCTAAAATTGATACCACAGAGGCAAGGAATGCCTTTGTTACCGGAATAATTAGTATGATCCGAGTTGTCCAAACATTAAGCTGACTAAGTCGAATTGCAAGGCAAGCGGTTGCAACTGCATCAAAGTTTCCCATTCAAAGTCGCGAAATTATTCCTGGCTCGGTTACGAATATATCAAACTGTATCCTGACGACGAACAGATCCAAGGGATCGCGGTTATTAGCCGTGAAAGGAGAACGGAATGACATCAATGAATAGAGTGAGAAATGACGAAATATATTAATAGATATGTTGGAACAGTATTTAGTAGAGCTGGCAATATATTTGCTCAATAGTTTCACATTAGCACGAGAATACCTTCGCGCCCTCGCAGGATTAATGGCCTCCGAATGAGCCATAGAAGGCAACGACTTGCAGCTGTTACACGGTGGCGTTCTGAATAATTAGTGGCCATAGTAGTTTCCTGGTCGTTAATAATGACGCATTACACGTACGATAAAACGTAAATCGCGACGTTCAACGGCTAAGAATAACGATACAAGCTGTGCGCGATAACACTGTGCGTAGTACGTTAATTCGTACGAATCCTAAATGAAAAATTACAAAAAAAATGAATGAAAAATCTTTCGTACCGTCATAAGTTCATCGTAGAGGTAGGAGATCTCCGGGTAGGTAATAAAATCGACCATGATGCGAGTGTAGAAAAATAGCGATCACCTTCGACGATTAACAAGGCACAAACACTTCCTTACGAATAAACAAAGTCCGTCGATAGTTAACGGGGGTGAAGATTCGCGCGGTTAATTGAACCTTCCTGGTGACCATTCGTTGGAACTAGCAGACAGGATATCCCGAATAGCCGGCGTTGAAACTCCGAACGAATCACTGCGCAGAATCACTATTCGGAGCACCGCTTCACTTTGATACTTCACAAACACTTTGGCGCGATTCAATTTGTCCCGGCATGTGGTTAAAAATCAAGCGGCCGGCGCGGGTAATCGCGTGTAAACACGCATTCTTTCCTCTCGTTGTTTATTCACACCCCGCGAGCGTTCCTGGCGAATTCGAACGCGATCAACGACGAAAGAAGAGCGTGAACCTTGTCGGTACGATTCGCACGGCACTAAAGCCACGTTTCCCACGATCGCCACGAAATCTGCCGCACGATCCTCCTCGTTCACGCGACAACGTTTCAGCGGCAGGAATTTCTCGAACGGGCAAGAAATCACTGGTAATTTTCACGGGAACGACGCGGTGACTGATACGTAGCAACCCCGACGAAAGCAAAAGAAAGAATGAGGAACAAAAGAACGGCACGGAAGGGCGCGTATAACTGCGACTGGCTTATTCTCAGGGCCGTATCGCGGAAGTCGGAGCGAAAGGTCCACGAGGCAGCCACGAGGGTAGAAATGGGCGGCTTTATGCGCAGACGAGAGATAAAAGAGGGACGAGAGTAGACAGATATATATATATATACATACGGTTATATAGAGGGAAAACGAGGACTCGCAAGCCCGCGCTTGCGAACGAAAGCACAAGGGAGAGTAAGCTCGGTCACTGAGGCGTCGCCACTCGGCTTGCTTCCTCCGGAATCACTCCCTCCTTTACTTCTAGTCCCCTACCATTACCATCCTATCCCTCCTAAAACTCCTCCACCTTCTTCTTGTTCTTCCACGTCTTCTCTCCGTCTTCGCGTCTTTTGCCATCGCAAAAACGACCCCTCGTCGCGAGGCGTAATCATGGAAAGTTCCTCGTAATTATTTGATAGCCACGCTACTCCACCACGCCCGTCCATAATCGTTACATAATAATTATGTAATATAAAGGAGATCGGTCTGCTTGCACCAAGGCGACGGGATCCGTGACTGAAATATTCACACTCGGGTCTCGTGTAAACGTGGATACCGCTGGTTCGATACTGTTTACGTTTAACAGTTTACGATAACTTAATTTACGATGCAATTCTATTAATATGAGGACTCATCTTCGTCATCTTCGGGGCATGCTTTCTATCAAACTTACAGTACGGATCGTAATAATGGTCCTATTTCTTGAACAAGCTTTCTCATTTTGGAGATTTTATTTCTTTGAAATTTTTAGTTTTTGCTGGTTCAAATGTTTTCAATTGAATTGGCATCTGGTTGTGACAGTCAAGATAATGACTTTGGTATTTGGAGTCGTTCTCTTGTGAAATCCAATTTTCTTTCTATGACCCAATTATTTTTCAGATGCAGATGGAATCAAGAATTTTGCTGATATTTTGCTCGCGTGAAGTCTATTGGTGCAAGCACAGAAATGACCAAAGCCCTTTTTCAAAATGCAACTTCAAATTGTGTGTGTTTCTAAAGAAATTCATTGGTACAGAAGCTTTTCTAATACCAAGCAAGATAGTCTTCTTTACATAACTTTCAACGAAACAATGAAACTAGAAACTCTACACATTAAACTTAGCTATAACTTGACGTGAAGTAAAGGGTCCTTCTTCCTTCTTCTCGGAAATAATTCTAGGTAATCAGATTTCAACAAGAAGTTGTGAGTCTACGTGTACATTAAGCAGACCGTAGAAATACCATTTCTAATTCTACCACGTTCTATTTCCAGAGTACGCACGTGAGCGTGTATAATGCTAGTTGCTTGTATTGCTACCATTTTACAGGTTTTTAATAAAATGAAAATTACTGCTAAATTAATTGGTGATTCAAAAATTATGTATGTACAAGATTAACCACTTAAATCAAACTTAAATATTCACTAAAGTCATCAAATTATCTAAAAATCTCTATGCTTAAAAATTCACTCGATAAATAATGAACTCATAATATTAATATCCTCAAAAAATTTTTTTGAAATCTTCCCGTTCCTTAAATATTTCATTCGGTTATATTCGTGACTCGTATAGCAGTGTAAGTGTTAATGAATTACGAATAGTTAACGATCAGACACGTAGAAGTAGCAAAAATTTCAGCGGGCTCGTGGGTGGCGGAGCTGCATGCAAAAGTTGCAAAAACTTCGTTAGGGAGGAACGCAAACAATGCCCGGTCCGAGTTGCTCGGCTCTTTACTTTCGCTCGTATCCGCTCGCGAACGTGTTCCGACCAAAAGCTTTTTACTCCGTTCCCTTGCACGCGTTAAGTATCGTACTCCTTATGCAAATTCGCGTAGAACCGAAAGCTCGTCCCCGTTGCTCGACGGCCGTCGTTGAATGCTCGACGGAGTTCAACGTTTCTTTCCTTCGAGACGGCAAACCCCCATAGCGCACCAACGCCAATTACACCCTCGTAAATCTGCCCGCCAATTTGTCAGCGGCGCGCAATCCGTCCGCCTAAATTTCACCGTGCCTTATCGCGCCCTCCTAACGTACTCGCTACTTAAACCCGTTCCTAATTTCCAGATGGAAAAGGATGGGATTTCGATCACATCGAACCAACAACCGGAGATTAATGGTTCTCTTTTGGTAACGTCGAAATTCAAGGGGTTCGCTTTGTTCGAATGCAGCTCGCCGAACAACGTGGGAAGAGTTTACGGTTTCTTTGATTTTATTAACAGTTCGATGATTTCACGTTTCGTGCAATCCGACACTTGCATTTTTGCGTTTCCTTTTTTATATCTGAGAGAACATATGATAGCTTCATTTAGGGTACGTTGTAATACAGTGGATAAAAATAAATTGAAAAATTATAAATGAATAGCTCTCATCAAAGGTGTAACATTTTGCAATGGAAATGGAGACTAATTATTTTCAGATTTTAATTTTCTAATTGCTAAAAATTGTCTTTCATTTATTCTCTTTGTGTCCATAAATAGTTGAAGATATTTATGTATCAGCTATTGTATGAGTTATAACAATGATTCCAGTAGCTTTCATAATTATTATACCTCAATATTTCATGTCACTGATGTGCTAATGATTAAATATTCACTAGTTGTATTGAACAACATAGGATTGATGAAGATATCAAAAATGAATTTCATATTAATGTTCATTTCAACAAGAACTTAATAGTCAGTTAAATACATTCGTTAAATGCTAAAGTAAAGTATAGAGTACTATTATTGTACCCGTTCGAATTTTAATTTGAGAAGGTTAAATAAAGATCATTATATTTTTAATCGAATGAGAATTTTTCTGTCGCCGGTGGAATACCAATGAACACCAGTAACATCTGGCGATCTGTTAATGTTGGGGTCGGCTAGAGCAACATTGCAACCAAGCCGGAGGCTGAGCTTATGAGAAAAGCAAATAAACAGGAATTAAATCTGGAAGGCTTTATCGTGAGAGATGTTCGTAGATTTTTCTGTGGAAAGTATATATCAGCCGTTCACAGGCCAAAGTGATTAACTCCACTTTTAAAATTTTTTTATGTTTCACTACCAAAGCACACGATTGATCCTGAACTTCTTATATTTCATTCATTTTTCTATTTTTTATTTTATGAAATTAATCGATTTGATAAATGAGCTTGGATATAAATAATTTTATTTCAGATCACATTTGCAATTTTTATGATTTGCATTTAGGCCAGAGTTCTGTCATTAATTGCTCAGAATAAGTTAATAAATCATTCACAAATCTATGCCATCTCTTTTATATTTCTATTTATAGAATATACCAGTACAGCGTTGTGACAAATTCAGGACACGTTGTACATAATGCAAGAAAGTAGAACAAGTCATCTGAGATCAGCCACCGAGAAAGGAGAGAAAGATAAGCGCGGTGCTTTCAATTTCGATAAAGAGTAGGTCCTAGAAAGACATCTATCTACCTCTGCCGAAAAAAAGAAACGAATTCGGCTACCTCGATCTTTAATTTCGCTTAAGTACATTGAGATTTATCGACGCAACTAAGCAGTAATTTACCTAAAGGGCATTGCAAGCTGGTTCCTTTCTGTACTCTCAGAGATGAAGAAGTGATATTCGCTGTGACCCCTGTTTCACACGCGAAAGTTCGATCAAAGCGAGTCCATCGAAATGTCGATAAGGATCGTGATGATCTCAGCTGATCACGCGATTGCGTAGTTCAAGACTAATGTGTTTTTAAGGAACTTATATTGCTGATTTCATATTAATTAACTCTGTTGTTCTTCCAATTTACACTTTCATTTTATAATACTTGAAATATGTTACATATTTTTTTTAAATTTTAATGCAAATCTAAAAAGAACAATAGCATTAAATTTAGCATGGAATAAATGATGAATTTTGTTCAGTATAAAAGTTACTTTTACTAAAAATTAGAATTGATTAATGGGCAATAAATTTTGCAGATTTATTTTCGTTTTGCACGGACCATTGTTCCCGATTCACTAATATTGATTTCAACTTTGATATGGGCTAAAGCGGCTGATGACTCAGGCTCAAGAATAGGAAAGGAAATAGCGACTACTACATCGATGACTAAGAGCTCGTGAAACTCGTCACTTCAAACATACCGGATATGCAACTTCCTACATTAGAACATCAGAAGCAATCTCTGTATCTAAATGTAAATGTAATACTCTGTAATGTTCCTCAGTTTCCCTGATGGATATCATGGTGCATCAAGAAACCACGGTGAATCAAAAGAATATCGACAACTTTTGCAACAAGATGAAATTTCGTTATTCTGGCAGCGATGAATTTTCAAAGAAATTTTCAAAATTATAAAAACAAAATCTGAATTACTTTTAGGACAACCTAACAGGACTACTTACTAAAAGAGAGGATGGAAATATTAACAAATAATCATTAAAGATATATTAAAATAGAAGATAATTATACCAGAAAAAAATGTTGATCTATAAATCATTTTAGAAAATTAGAAAATTTTGAATTTTACTATTCAAAGTTTGTGCTCTTTAAAAAGCACAGTCTTTTAAGCATACAGTTTTATGTAAACCAAGTCCAGCTCTCGTTCTAATTAACAAATTCCCATTTAATAAATGGATAGCAAACTATGAAACGTGTCACGTGAAAATTACAGCGGAACCCTCTTGTTTCGATCTTCAGGATCCCATTTCAGATGTACAATTCCGTACCTTCAGCTCCAATTTCCGGCATAATTTAATCTCGTTCCCGTCGAGCACGAAAGAAACTTTCGAAACGACGATCCGAGATTATAAGTCATACAAGGGTTGAGCGGAGGGGGTGAGTTCCGTGCAACAGAAACGCAGGCCCCGTTAAAATTAACTTTCCCGAGAAAAATGATTTTCGACGTAATCAAATAGCCAATTCGTCAAAGAAGCCGCTCTGAACGTGAGTCTTGTACACGCCAGCAGCGCACCGTGGCAGAGGTATCGCGATAACGACCGGAAGTGGGATACCAAATACAACTTTCTTCTTTCGTACTTTCGCGTGAGCGTGAACAAGCGCGTGCGCACGTGCAACGATCGCTTCCGCAGTAAGCACGAGCTAAGTATAGCCGGTTAGCCACGGGCATTGTTATTGCTTACACAGCGGGACCGTTCAGCTTGCGATGCCTGTTTATGAAGGGTCCGTTGCTTGCTCGAGTTATGGTCTCAGGTGCGTTCCGATATTACAACTCGACCCGGTCAATCGGTAATTTGACCAACATCGTGAACGAGACTCCGGGAAACTTCGAACTTCCCTCGGAGTTCAGCGATTCCTCCGGCAAATTTCTGATGTCTGATAAACAAGGAGAGTTTCGGATCTCTGGTTCGAAAGCGTTAAAACTTCGAACAATGATAAATTATGTTATTCCGTCATTTTAGAAGCACGATTGAAGTGTAATTAAAACGTACTGTGCTCGAATTTTCATTAAAAATAATAATTATTATTAACAGCACACTGAATTATGAATATCTCGAAAAGGTTTTAAGTGTAGATACAAAAATATATGAAGTTCCTGCAAATATATATGCTTCTGCTTCTGAATTCTACTCGAGTGATAACGAGTTTTGTGTTTTAGTAATTGTAGAACATACAACTCATTACATTATTGTTTGCAGCAAACTTTTGCTTCCGCTTGCTTTTAGCAAACAAGAGTAACATTTTAATATGTATTCGAGGATACTCGTACAGGGGTGCCTGTTAACTATTACAACAGGGCTTAAGTTAGCTTTCAACGAGATAACTGTTACCTTCTGGTGCAGATGAATTTAAAAATTTGATAGAATTCAAAAGTGTTAAAAAGAATTGTGAAAACCAACACTAGTTCTAATTAAAACCTCTTAATCTTAACAAAGAATATTTCTTCCATGGTGGAAAAAATATGAAGAGCGAAAGAAGCTTTTAACCATTAAATTAATACTAATTCTTTCTAAAATTTTCAAAATAGTTTAAAGAAGTTCACCTTCGTCGGATAAACTAGAGAAGAATATCCTCGTCCCGAGCGAAGAGAGGATAAAATTCTCAAAAATCTCGAAACGGACCGCGTCGATGGGAAGGCACGAAGCAATTGAAAAGGATATTTTTTTCTACTTGACCAGCGTGGTGAACGTACACCGGTAGGTAGTAACGCGTAACCAGGAAAAAATGCGTGTGTATCCGGGCTATACGCGTCTGCCTCTTCATAAAGTCATAACTCAGCCAAGCCCCCGGCACATCTCTCGGCATAACATTTAAAACGATTTCCGCTGGCAGCAGTGCCAAGACCCGTAGCTGCGTTGTTTCGGGGATAGATTAACGAAACATAACGCCAGTACTCGCTACGGACTTCCAAGGGGTAGCTCGGATAATGGGAAGGGGCGTGTTGGCACTGCTCTGGCA